CAAATTTCTTGTTCTTCTCCGTTCATAATGAAGTGTCCAGCCAAACCATGTGCTGAAAACAAAGAAAGAGACAAACAAAAGTGGTTACAGATTCCAACCACTTCAATGGGCTAAACATTTTTTAATAATGGTAGGTTGTCAATAATGATAATTTGCAGCATCTTTCTCTGCTATAAATAGCAGCATTTGCAGTGCTGAAAAATGCACCAAGCGAGAGAGAAAAAGAAGCAGAAAGAAAAAGAGAGAAGAATAACATCTTGTGAGTGTTATTTTTCAGTGAGATAAAAATAGAGTGTTTGAGTAAATCCTGTGAGTGTGGAAAAAATACACCGGGTTGGGTATCAACTCTATTACTCTTTGTTTAAGAGTGGGGTTCTCACTGGGTCACTATATTTTACATTTCTAGTGTAAGGGAGTGTGAAAAGATATTGTAATTATCTTGAAAATATAGTAGAATTATTTGGAGGTTGTCCCGTGGTTTTTTCCTCTATTTGAAGGTTTTTCCACGTTAAATCTTGGTGTCTTATTTCTTGCATATTATATTTATTTGGGATATTCTTAGTATGCTCTGTGGTTGCAGTTTAATCTGATCTTCCACATCAGAAAAGAATTATTCCGGTATTATTGCAAGAGATTTTCTTTTGTCATTCTTGAGTTGTTGGGATTGGGATTATTGTTCACCATTTCTTGTCAGTATTTTAATTTATATCTTCCGCATTGCGCATCCGAGCCCAACACATAATCCCCGTTTTTTCCTGAATTTTTTTGTCGTAATTTTTTTGCACTTCCTTATTTTTTTTACGGGGCTCGGTTCTATTTTTTTGTCAAATTGACCATGAACGGAGCTCGATTCTCCACCAGATGCTCGAGCAGGGGCCAGAGGAAGAACACGTAGCGACTGTCAAAGGCTTCGGCAGAGCGGGGGAAGGATCGGGAGAGGATGCCGAGATAGTGGGTGGTGGAACCTTGATGCGCCTGTGGCGACCAACGGTTATCAGGGAGGCGAGCACGTTGACGCATAGCTGGAACCACGAGTGAGGTGATGTTGCCGGGGACCCGGTGGCCTCGGCCCCGACTATGATGTGGGTGATGCGGGTGGCTGGGTAGTAGGGAATGATGAAGTTTTTAATTTTTATTTTTCTATTAACCCAACTTTAGTAAAAGTATGTTTTTTTGTTGGCCGAATGATAAGGCCAAAAAACTTGATGATTTAGACTGGCACGTCAATAACACATCAGGGAGTAATTTTATGCGGTGGGAAATGGACGGGGGCTGTAGCGGTATTGAAAGAATAATGTTTGGTATGGAATATAAATTCCTCCTTTGTCTCTTGTTTTCCCCTCCTTTCGTATGCTTTCCATACAACATCCCACCAATTTGATGTTCAATTTGGTTTAAGATACTTTAGGTGAAAATAGTATCATCTCACTTCATCGTGAACAAAAATTTGATGTAAGATACTTTTAAGTAAAATAATATCACTTCACTTTATCGTGATATTTGGTTTATAGTATCATAAATTCCATGAGAATAATTTGATTCATATCCAAATTTGGATAATTTCACAGGTACACGGTTACCATTAGGGCTGCAAACGAGTCGAGCAGCTCGCGAGCCGCTCGCGAGCGCTCAAGTCAAAGTTCGGCTCGAGCTCGAGTTTGACCGAACTCGAGTCGAGTTCGAGTGTCTCGAGCACGAACTCGAGTCAAGCTCGAGCACATATTTTATATTTTCGAGCGGCTCGAGATATATGAAATAACTAAAATACCTTTGTATATATATGTATTTAATTGTTATTTTACAAAATTGCTTAAAAAACTTCGAATCGAACTCGAGCCGAGCTCAAGCATTTTGAATTCGAGTCGAGCTCGAGATCTTGTATTTTTTATCGAGTCGAACTCGAGCCTCGAAAATCGAGCTCGAGCTCGAGAAACAAAAAAAAAAATTCAATCCTGCTCGATAAGTCTAATGTTCGACTCGGCTCGGCTCGGCTCGTTACCCTAGTTACCATGACAAAATGCAAAAATGATAACAAAGCTGATAGTGTTAGCATATCAAGTCAAAGGAAAACAAATTCGGCGCCAACGTAAATTTTTTTTTGGTACAATAAAGGTAGGCCTAAGGCCTAAGAGGTCGAAACCAGAACTCGTCGGGGGTGAGCCACCCCATTAACGTCGTGAGCAAGCCATACATCCATCCCAGGGGGAGGTGACGAGATCCGTTGTAATCCTAATGGGGCCGAGGCCGCAAGAGTCGCCATATGGTCTGCCGCAAAATTGGCTTCTCTATGCACATGAAGAATTTGGATAGTCCAGTTGCGGTGCATTAAACTGCGAATGGCTCGGATGAGTGAATCGTGGGTGCCAAACTGATTTTCCGGCCCTAGAATCATTGTCGTCACATATTGATTGTCAACCTCAAACACAGCTTGCCGGATCTTGAGGTCCCAGGCTAATTGGAGTCCCTAAAACAAACCCCATAATTCCGCTCCGGTAACCGTATCGACTCCAATGTTCATAAAGAAACCCTCGATCCACGTACCTTGCGCGTCCCTTATTAATCCGCCAGCACTGCAAAGGCACGTGGTTCGGTTTAGGGCGCCGTCCGTGTTTATTTTGTACCACCCCGAGGCCGGTGGGGCCCATTGAATCATCCTCGAAACATACAGCGATGAGCCCACCTTTTCGTACGCCTCAGCCGCCCTCTCATAAGACTCAGCGCGACTAACAATTTCGAGTATCCGAGGTTCTATCCCTAATGACTGATCGTTGAATACCCTGTCGTTCCGCCATCGCCATGCACTCCAAGCAGCAAAGGCGAAGGTACACCTCCAGTTTTTGTGCAGCCCCTTTGGTGCCTGGGCTAGGTTATGTTTTAGCCATTGCTTAAGAGGCAGATTGAAGAAACGGCTCGCTGTGCCAGGTGGGATGAGCTGGGTCCACACACTCTTAGTTATTGGGCAGTATCTCAACACATGGAGCGTGGATTCAGTCAAGCCACATGCTTCGCACTTAGCCGATGTAGATATGTGTCGTCGAACCCTCTCACTATTGGTCATCAGTCGATCTTTAGCCGCCAACCACAGGAATGAACGAACTCGTTGCGGCGCCGGTGACCTCCATATCAGCTTCCACAGAGCCTTATCCGGATTGTTAGAAGGATGAACCAACTCTGTGTAGGCTGACCGCGTACTAAATTGTCCATCATGTGTGGCTGCCCATAAAAGTCGATCTTCTCCAGCCGCTTCTCGGGGCGGAGCAATCCCTGCGATGCTCATGATGACGGCGGAGGAAAGAATCCCATGAAAGGAGTCCCAACTCCAGTTCCCCTGATCGTCCACATACTCCACAACTTTCAAAT